GGTAGCTGTTTCAGAGGAGCAGGAACGTAAATGCTCAGGTCATTTGAACAGGCTTGTAACCCTCTGGATGCCATTTACTTCCATGAAGTACAACTGCTTGGCATTTTAACCCTTGAATCACAATTTAGAAGCAGAACTGCAGGCATTTATTTAACACAAAATCATATAGAATGGTTTGGGCTGGAAGGGACCTTAAAGATCATCCAGTTCCAACCCCCCTGCCATGGGCAGGGACACCTCCCACTAGACCAGGTTGCTGAAAGCCCCGTCCAACCTGGCCTTGAACACTGGCAGGCAGGCGGCAGCCACAGCTTCTCTGGTCTGACCACCCTCATAGTAATCCTACAGAGAAATGTATTCCAGCAGACTTACTTTTACCCAAACTCCCTAGCATAAATGTAAACAGTTTATATCAGTGTTTCTGTATGTGTTTGCAACTCCCAGGCAAAATCTATGGAAGTAACAAGCATATTTAGACAAGCAAATCTTTATCAGTCCTGGCTGGGGAAAAGAAGGCAAAAAGCCCCAGAGCTAACACATGCCTCTGTGGCCAAGACTATATGTGAGGTATGCTTTCAAAACAAAAAAGGAACGCCCCCAAAACCCCAGCAGCTCATACTTTCATTGCTTCAACAACAGTCTGCTTTGTGCCATGAAGGATCTTACAACCTGGAATTTTCTCAACTTGCTGTACTGTATTATTCTTTGTACACTCAGGTCAGTTTGGCCCAAAAGGCAAACTGGGCATTGATCAGCAAAGAGATCATGTGAGTCTTTGCATAAGAAGGTTTGAGACAATGTGAGTCAATAGTCTGGTTTCCAAGGAGGTAAAGCTCCGGATTTCATTCAGAAGAACTTATTCCTTAGAACTCGTATATCTGGTCGAAAAGGGGCAGAAGGCTCAACAGAAATATTCTGGGAAAATAAGATCGGGAAGGGCTTCATATTCTTTAAGTTAATTAATTAATTAATTAAAGTTTCTGGATGGGGTGGGAAGATTTTTTTTTTTTAAAAGAAGCTTTTAAAGTAGTTTCCTTTCAAGAAACAGCTTCCTTAGCACTGCCACTCAAATGGATTGCTGTGCAGACAAAATTATCACGGACTTAATTCAGCTAAATTTTAAGGAATTACCCTTTCTTTGTGATGACTATATGACAATCAACACAAGGGTTAAGCAAAGCCTATCCACTTTAGTCCAGTTGGAGTCTGGGCTGCACTGAGTCAGATCGAGGTGAACACAAGGACATACCGTCCCACAAAAACAATGTCTGTTTCTCATTTGTAGGTAGTAAATAAGATCTATTTTACCTTTCAGCAAAGCTATCAAGTTTTCCCAACTCATCTGACAGACCAACAAGAGCATCCAGTGTCCCCACCTGTGCAAAAGATGAGAAGTAGGTGAAAGATGCACAAGTCTGTCTAAGGCTTCTGTTGGCAGAGTTTTAGGGACACTGACTTGTGTTTAGTACTTGTGAATGCAACAATTTGACAGAACTTCATTTACTTGGTGGAAAATAGTAGCAATTCCTTTACTCAAGACCTAGGGCATAAAAAGCCTTTTCCAACAAAGGAAAAAAGTATGCGTAGTCTCAAGATTACACGTCAGTGTCTTCCTTCCTGTTTTCATTCCCATACCACCAAGTTGCATAGACTAGTCTTTAACCTGATAAAACAGTGACTAGAAATGCACACAATATACATACAAACAAATCGGATGTACTGAGAGAAGCAAGGGAAGAGGTGCTTATTCAAAAGGGGGTCTCTGTCTGCGTTCTTTGCTACTACCAAAGACTAAGCCTCCCACAAAGCCATTTCCTCCAAGACTAACATCTGCATTTTGTATGACTCTGTGACAGTCATAATCCCATGCGTATGGTATTGCAATATATTGCTTTTCTTGTAATGTTGCCAGCTCAACATTATGAAGCATCAAGCTGAAGAAGAAGGAACAAATTTTACAGAGAACAATTAGCAGAATATTAATGGGCTAGTTGCATCTTCTGATACTGCAAATGCTTTATTTCCTTTAACATTAGCAGACACACCAACACTGGCTGGTAAGGCCCATAGATGGTAAAAATCATATCAATCGCAGGTGCACATGCAAAAAGCAACATTCCCAGTCTGAAAGATTCATGTGACAACTCAGGAGTTATTACTTGAGAACAGGGCACAGTCCCATTTTACTTGCACCCTTATCAGAATAGCTCAAGTTATAACTGTTAACAACGTTTTTGGATTAAAGCCAGATCCTGGATGCGCTAAGTGTAGCTTTGTTAAGTGATAGGTGATGGCGATTCCCCAAGGAACTAAGTTCTACATCTGTAGTAGCTCCATTGACTTTAATGCAGCATATTTGGATTTTTCATAGCCACAAGTGAAACAAAAATAAGGTGCAGATCTTAGAAAATGAGGATTAAATAATGTAAAGATATTAAAAAAAATTATTAGTACTCTTCCTATTCATACAATGATATGAAACTGGGTAATGTGGCTGAATATACACACACATCCATCTCCCAAGGAGTAATGTGCATCGTTGCACTGTTTTCTCTGTCAGCAGGCTTACTGGCATGGTTCTAGACACTTAGCTACCCCCTTTGCATGAGCGATCCAAGATGTACAATGCTGCATGACTTTCATGACTGGGAGCAAATGGTACATCAAATGCCATAGATGAGTTACTTAACTCATCTCAGTCATCCCCACTCCTTATACATATATGCCTCCAATGTGAAGGTCAGTTTCAAGCACGGTGACATCTTTTCTCACTGATCAGTTTTCAGTTGACTGAACACAACTCGTCCCCCAGCTGCAATCTTTTTATACTCTTCGCATATTATCCCAAAAGATAAATCCCACATTTATCCCAAAAGTCTTTAGCCCCGGCTAATGCTGCTGTAATGCCCACACACAAACTCCTTCCTCATTTACCTTTAAGTCTGGAATGTGGAACTTGCTGTTGCTGGACAGGTTGGATTTAGATGTCACTGTGTTCATTCTCTCCCACGCCTGCAGATTTGTTTTATCTCCTGGGGCAGAAATCAGCCAGAACTCCGACATGATCTAATATTTTCCCTTTGCTCCTGGTCACTGTAGAAACACAAAGCAGGTAAGTGGCTAAAAGACCACCACTCAAAATGTGCTCTTCCCTAAGAACAGAAAGAGTTAGAACGGATCACTGATTTTTTTTTTTTTTTTTCAGAAACGCCAGGAGAATGAGTCAGTCCTGTGTCTCAGGCTGAAATGGAACATGACCTTCTCCAGAAAGTCACAGAAAGAGTGCAGTTGTTCCTCCTTTCTCAGGGTTGTTCCATCCAGTTTCTGAATGAAGAGACTAAGCTTCCTCCTCCCCTTTTCCCTCCCAGCCTGTTCCGCTCGCCTTGCACTGTAAGTCCAGTCTTCATTATGGGGTTTGGGGACTTCACTAAACCATCCTGAACGTAAGTAAGGATTTCTGCTCAATAAATATTCCTCCTCAAATTTTTGGACGCTGGTAGGCAAAAGTGAAAGCAAGATGTAAAAAGACCTCTGCTGCACATCCAGGCTGCAAAAGATGCCCCTGGCAAGATGGACTATTGCTTTACCCCGTGTTTTCCTTCCCAGGCTGGATGGGAAGGAGCTGGAGGACGGCAAGTGGCGGTGTTCGGAGGCGACATCAGCAGAACAACATAGACATAACAGTCGCGAGAGCGCGCGGGGGACAACGACCCCGGTGTCGACCGACCAGATCGGGGCAGGACAGCGAGAGGCAGGAACCGCACGGAGACCTCCGGAAGCCACCACAGACAAA